TCCCCTTCAGTCTATTGTGAATGCTGCTGCTAGACTTATACACCTTACCAATCGATCAGAGACTGCTGCCCCTCTTTGCCAATCCCTTCACTGGCTTTCACTAGCCCAACCTATAAAATTCAAAATACTAAGCACATGTACAAAGCCATTCACAACACTGCCCCTAGCTACATCACCAAACTCATCTGCAGATATCGCCCAAATCGTACGCTCCTCTCCTCCAAGACATCTTGCTCTCTAGCTCCCTTGTTACCTCCTCCCATGCTCACCTCCAGGAATTCTCCAAAACCTCTACCATCCTCTGGAACTGGTCAGCTCCCACCCTGCCTGCCATTAGGCGATCTATGAGTAAAGTTTACTGGGCAGGAGCAGGTGGTCAACTGTGTCAAAGGCAATGGAAAGGTCTAAGAGCATGAGTATGGAGTAATAGCCATTGGTTTTAGCAGTTAGTAGGTTGTTAGTTTTAATAGGGAAGTTTCAGTGGAATGAGGTGGGCGGAAGCCAGACTGTAGGGGATTGAGAAGGTTGTTGTAAGTTAAGTAGCAACTCATACAGTTTGTAGACTGTTTTCGAGAAGGTTGGAGACAAATGGGAGCAGGAAGATGGGTCTTAAGTTATTCAAACAGGTGGGGTCCAGTGAGGGTTTTTAGGTTTGGGGGTAACCAGTGCATTTTTGAGCAGGGAGGTAAAGGTGTTGGTGGAGAGGAAGAGGTTAAAGATGTGGGTTAGAAAGTTTACGATAGAGCAGGAAGGAGGCAGTAATAATTGTGATGGGACAGGGTTCAGGGCACAGGTGGTGAGATGGGCCTCAGAAAGGGGTTTGGCAACTTCCTTGTCAGTAACAGGGTAGAAGGAGTAAAGTATTGCATGTGGTGTAGGATCTGGTATGTTGGTTGCAGAAGAAAGCTTGACACTGGAGATCTCATTACAAATTGTGTTGATCTTGTTCTTGAAATGACTGGCAATCTCCTGGATAGTAAGTAAGTTGGTGGGTGAAGGCAGTGGGGGTTGAAGTAATGAATTAGGGTAGAAAAGAGTTGATGAGGATTGGATGAGAGGGTTTTTATGAGAGTAGTGTAGTAGATTTGATAAGCTGGAGTTGTATTTGAGAAGAGTAGATTTGTAGAGGGTGAAGTCTTGCAGGGACTAAGTTTTACGCAAGCTTACTCAAGAGCACAGCTGTGTCTCTTGAGACACCTGGTGTCTTCTGTTTGCCAGGGTTGTAGCAGATGAGGCTTGGTTCTGCGTGTAGAGAGAGGGAGCAAGTGTGTCCAGGATAGTAAGTTGTTGTAGACAAATGTGGCCAGGTCTGGGCAGGACAGGGGTGCAATTTTATTTGTAAAGGCCGTCAATAGCAGAGTGAAGAAGGAAGGGCTGAGGTTGTGGAGGTTCTATGGGTAACTGTTAGCCAGTTACAGGCATGGGAGACATGGAGAGTGTGAAACTGATAAAATTGTGATCAGAGGGAGGAAAAGGGGTATTAGAGAGCTTGCATGGAATGCAGAGGTGGGAGAATACGAGGTTGAAGATGTTGCCATTGGAGTGAGTAGTTGTTTGTGTCCATTGTGTTAGGTTAAAAGAGGAGGTTAGATTGAGTAGTTGGGAAGTAGCTGAGGTGTTAACATTGACTGGAATGGTCATCGAGGATGATGGCAGGTACCTCAGAGGAGAGAAAGTAGGGTAGACTTGCAGAGAAGTCACTTTGCTGGAAGGCTGGTAAATTACTTCGACCCTCAAGCAGGAGAAAAAAGACAAATACCGTGCATTTCAAAAAAGCAGAGGGACATAGAGGGAGGTGTAGGAAGATCCTGGAAGGTGCTTTGTGGGGAAAGGAGAAGTCCAACTCTGCCTCCTTTTCAACAGCTGGGTCTGGGTGAGTGAGTCCAAAGGAGGCCATCATGGAAGAGGGTAGCTGGAGAGACAGAGGTAGGATTCCTGGAGCCATGTTTCAGTCATAGCAAGTAGGTTTAGGGAGTGGAAGAGGTAGTTGACAGAAGCAAATGTTTTGGAGACTGAGCGGGTGTTCCAGAGAGCACATAAGTGGGGAGGAGGCTGGCTTGTGGAAATAGGAGAGTGAGGGTTGTGGCTACTGCCAGAGAAGGGAGACTGCTGGCTCTGCATCTGAGAGTTTGATGGTGGAGGGACAGGGTTTGGGGCGATATCACCAGAAGTCAGTAGTAGTGGGAGGATGAGGAAGGTGAGGGGGGAGCCAGATTTATACGAGGGCAGATTCTGCAGTGATTTTGAAGCGTTGACGTTATGTGGGCTCAGAAAGAGCAGGAGATAAGTGCAGTAATATTAAGAGGGCAGAAGTGAGGGCAATTATTGTATGTATAGGTTGTGAGGTGGAGAGGAGGGGTAAAGAAATGAGAGTTTGAGGAGAAAGGGCATTATAGCAAAAAGGAAAATTAGTAAGAGCATGTTGGATGGTGACGATTAAAAATAAGGAAGGCTGAGGGAAAGAGATAAGAGAGGAAAGAACACTTGCAGACTACTTGGAGTGTAGCATTAATGTTTGTACTTGCCTTTGTTAAAGCGCATTAGTTAAAATTCCGTGTTCAAAGTGCCATGCACTTTGCAGAAGGAATGGCCAGCACCCCTCGCTAGCCGTCCCAAGAATTGTACTGAATGTATACTTCGATGGACTGGGGGAGGTTAGACAAATATTCAATTAAGAGCTAATAAAAAAAGACACATGGTGAAAGTGGATGTTTTCTGCCCTAAACAAATTGCAAGCAGGATGGCCACAAGATAAGACTAGGTGTTTGATCTTGGCCAATGCACAGTAAAAGTAATTTAACTCAATACAGACAAGTGCAAACAGCAGTTACAATATGTCTAACAGGGCAGAAGATTTCAGTCATACAAGATAGCTTAGCATTTGAGAGATGAGTGGAATTTGTGGTTACTGAGAGCAACAGCAGGCAGCTGCAGGTATCATCCTGGTACAACCACTTGAAGTCCAGTGAAGTACCAGGTACATGACTGGTCAGTAAGTGGATATGGAAGCCACACTACCTTGTCACTGAGGGCAGATACAGTATGTCTGGATGTAGCCTACTCTTTCTGACACAGATCAGCTTCCTTCTGCAGACTTACCTTGTGCCTAGGGATGAGTGAATCTGCCTGGATTTGGTTCACAAACTGTTTAGTGATGATGGGCTGAAAACCCTCCTCTTTGGTTCACGGTCGAACATTCGAATGTACTGAAAGTTGGACCGCGAACTTCGAACAGGGACAATTTACTGAGCGGTATCTTACCACATCTGAGTATGCAGTAAGATATCGCTCAGTTACTAAAATACTGCATGAGTTATATTAAGTTATACGGTATTTTAGTAGTGAAATATTCACTCATGTCCCCTGCGGGTTCCCTGCTGACAGCTGAATGTTAAAAGAATTCTTGGCATTGCTTGACACTTAAAAAAAAAAAAAACGGTATGGGGTCCTCCCTCCCATCCATACCAAGCCCTTCAGGATAATTGCACAGTCATGCAATGCTGTAAATAAATTAAATGTATGTATTTTTTTCCCCCACAAATAGAGCTTTCTTTTTGGTGGTATTTGATCACTTCTGGGTTTTATTTTTTGAACTATAAACAAAAAAAAAGGAAAAATACCAAACATTTTGTAAAACAAATAATATTTTCTACTTTCTGCTATAAAACATATTCAATGAAAAATTTTAAAAAATCTAATTGCGTCATAAATTTAGGCCCATATGTATTCTGCTACATATTTGTGGTAAAAAAAATCCCAATTACCATTTATTGATTGGTTTGCGCAAAAGTTATGGCATTTGCAAACTATGATATACATGTAGCACCCTCTAGTGTGCTACTAGAATAGTGTAGTGTATTATAGGCAAAATCATTATGAGACTCGTGGTAGTTGTGTGGGTCATGTGATTGTGGTCGGGTTATTGCAGGTCAGCTGGATGACTCTACAGGTTGTGGCTCTATCACCTCCTCCTGTTTCTGGAGGACCATGGAACCTTCCAGAGGTCAGTAAGAATGAGGGGTGGAGGCCTAATCTGCATATTCATGGGGGGCCGGCCAGTCCTGGGTTTGGATGCCCTGGTGGACTGGCTTATAAATATGGGAGAGTTAAGCTGACAGAGGATTTGGGTGGAAGATGGAGGGCTGAGGAGCCTGCCAGTCTAGGAGGGGTCCCCTAGGTCTGGGGGGGGGGCAGCCTCTAGGCTGGGCTCGGGATGGCTCAGGAGGATACATTCTGCAGAGAGGCGCAGAATGAGTAGTACAGCAGCACACTTTGGGATCTGCAAAGGGAAGGACTGCCAAACCTAGCAAGCTTTCCATGGACAGCATTGAGCTAAATCTTTTATTCTTGATCCAGGAGATCTTCCGAGAAGCCAGGAGGGCTGGTTGTGTCTGCAGGCTGTGGAGCTGGGAGCAGCTCCGTAGGGGGAGAGAAGATATCCCTGTGTGTACTTACAAGAAATTATTTTTGAGGGGCTGCTAATTCCTCACCTGTAAGGGGAAACTGCTACTGATCCACAATGACTGACGGCTTTCAGGAAAAGAACAGTCCAAGATCTGCATTGTACTTAGGAGGGAAGTGCCCCCTTACGTTGTTTCAAGCCAGACTGGGCATCCCATAATCCCTATTACCCTATCCAAGTTCAAATCCCCTAATAAAACAACAAAACCAAGTTCATTGACTGGTCACTGTCTTTGGATGCAAGTCTGTGTTAGAAATACCGTATTTTTCGCTCCATAAGATGCACTTTTTTCCCCCCAAAAAAGGGGGGGAAATGTCAGTGCGTCTTATGGAGCGAATATAAAGCGGACGATCCGGTATTTCTGCCGCCACCATATCAGAATACCGGGCCGGCCGCTCAGCTGTTCTCTGTGGCAGGAACTCACCTGTTCTTCGGTCCAGCGCTGTAGTCTTCCCGCTCCGGCTTCTTTCCATCCCAGCATCTGTGACAGCCGGGTACCCACTGCGCATGCGCGAGAAGCGCTGCGCTTTGAGAATGGTCCGGTGTCTTCTGGGACACATGACAGGTCCCAAAATATGCCGGGCCATTCACAAAGCGCAGCGCTTCTCGTGCATGCACAGTGGGCACCCGGCTGTCAAAGTTGGGTGCCCACTGTATAAGAAGGAGAACTCTGCGGAAGTGGGAGCCGGTACCTGTCAAATTCAGGTACCCGCTCCCCCTCTCTCCCTAAAGGTCCACAGTGTCTGGTCATGCCCTGTACTGTCTGCAGTCTCTGGTCATCCCCTGTACTGTCTGCAGTCTCTGGTCATCTGTACTGTCCGCAGTCTCTGGTCATCTCCTGTACTGTCCGCAGTCTCTGTTCATCCCCTATACTGTCCGCAGTCTCTGGTCATCTCCTGTACTGTCTGCAGTCTCTGGTCATCTGTACTGTCCGCAGTCTCTGGTCATCTCCTGTACTGTCCGCAGTCTCTGTTCATCCCCTATACTGTCCGCAGTCTCTGGTCATCCCCTATACTGTCCGCAGTCTCTGTTCATCCCCTATACTGTCTGCAGTCTCTGGTCATCCCCTTTACTGTCTGCAGTCTCTGGTCATCTGTACTGTCCGCAGTCTCTGGTCATCTCCTGTACTGTCCGCAGTCTCTGTTCATCCCCTGTACTGTCCGCAGTCTCTGGTCATCCCCTGTACTGTCTGCAGTCTCTGGTCATCTCCTGTACTATGTCCGCAGTCTCTGATCATCTCCTGTACTATGTCCGTAGTCTCTGGTCATCTCCTGTACTATGTCCGCAGTCTCTGGTCATCTCCTGTAGTATGTCCGCAGTCTCTGGTCATCTCCTGTACTGTGTCCACAGTCTCTGGTCCATCTCCTGTACTATGTCTGCAGTCTCTGGTCATCTCCTGCAGTATGTCCGCAGTCTCTGGTCATCTCCTGTACTGTGTCCGCAGTCTCTGGTCATCTCCTGTACTGTGTCCACAGTCTCTGGTCCATCTCCTGTACTATGTCTGCAGTCTCTGGTCATCTCCTGTAGTATGTCCGCAGTCTCTGGTCATCTCCTTTGGTATGTTCGCAGTCTCTGGTCATCTCCTGTACTGTGTCCGCAGTCTCTGGTCATCCCCTGTACTGTCTGCAGTCTCTGGTCATCTCCTGTACTGTGTCCACAGTCTCTGGTCCATCTCCTGTACTGTGTCCGCAGTCTCTGGTCATCTCCTGTACTATATCCGCAGTCTTTGGTCATCTCCTGTACTATGTCCGCAGTCTCTGGTCCATCTCCTGTACTATGTCCGCAGTCTCTGGTCATCTTCTGTACTATGTCCGCAGTCTCTGGTCCATCTCCTGTACTGTTTCTGCAGTCTCTGGTCCTTCTCCTGTACTATGTCCGCAGTCTCTGGTCATCTCCTGTACTGTCCGCAGTCATTGGTCATCTCCTGTAATGTGTCCGCAGTCTCTGGTCATTTCCTGTACTATGTCTGCAGTACATTGGTTCAGAATATTTTTTTTCTTGTTTTTCTCCTCTAAAACCTAGGTGCTCTTATGGTCAGGTGCGTCTTATGGAGTGAAAAATACGGTACCTGTTGCCAGGCTGTGCAGTGAGAAGCTTAGGGATAACCACAACACAGCGGCTAGAATTTTTATTTTATTTTTTATACTAGCAACTTATAGCAGAACTGCAATATTGCGGCACACAATTGGAAACTAGCTGACATTAAATGACACTTTGTGAGAACCAGTGACACTAATACAGTGATCAGTGCTAAAAAGTATGCACTGATACTGTACTAATCACCCTGGCTGGGAAGGTGATACACATCTAGGGTGATCAAGGGGTTAACTGTGTGCCTAGCTACGTGTAATGTGTACTGTGTGTGCTTTTTCACTAGGTAATGTACTGAATTCAGGGAAAAAAATCCAGCACATTGCCACTGACAGGGCACAGCTCTGCCTTATTTACATAGGCAGAGCTGTGTTCTGTCAGTCTTCTTGACGATTGGTGGGTGCCAGAGCTCATTCATTGGCTGGCACCTGTTGATTGGCTTCTACTGTGACAAACTACATCAGAAGCGGTGCACTGGCGGCACATGTACACACCTGGGACAAGGAAGTGCAGAATCACTTGTGATTCTGCACAGCGCGACCGCCCTCTAGCAGTACATTCTTTTATGAGGTGGTCAGCCTTATTGAACTATTTACAAAAAAATAAAACAGAATAAGATGCCCTCTCCAAATTTTTTTATTATACAGGATTTATATAACTCCAACAGTTTGCAGAGCACTTTACAATATAAACGGAAACGGTACAATTACAATACAATGGAATACAAGAGGGTTAGGAGGATCCTGCTCATAAGAGCTTACAATATAATAACATGGGGCAAGTGGTACAAAAGGTAATAACAGTGAGGGATGAGCTGATGGAAGAATCAAAATTTCAATTGTTAGGAGGAGGTGGGATAGGCTTCCTTGAAGATTTGAGTTTTCAGGAATTGCCTAAAGGTAGCAAAATTAGGAGATGAGTGAATAGTTTGAGGTAGAGAGTTCCAAAGGATGGAAGAGGCTCCAGAGAAGTCCTGGAGAAGAGCATTGAGTTAAAAGTTATTGGACCTCTTGCCAATTTACTATAGCACTTAACTGGTTTTCTTATGTGAGTATGGGCTTCTGGTTCTCACTTTTTGACCCCTAAAAGCAAACTGATGAGTTTAAAGTGGTTGTAAAGGTTCAGATTTTTTTTATTTTAAAATAGCAAACATACCATACCTACCTGCTCTGTGTAATAGTTTTGCACAGATCAACCAGAAACATCCTCTTCTTCCTTCCCCCGATGGCACTTCTGGACCTTCCCCTCTGCTGAGTGCCCCCATAGCAGGCTGCGTTCTCACTCCTGAGCAGCCTCTGTGTGTCGGTGAGACACACAAAGTGCAGCTCGACCCCGCCCCTTCTCGCTCCCTCCTTACTGGTTATGATTGATGGACTGGCTCTCGCTGCTATGCCTCAGCCAATGAGAAGGCAGAGACCCGGGAGAGAGTCTGCTCTCATGCACATCGCTGGATCGGGCTCAGGTGAGTATAAGGGGGAGGCTGGGGGCTGCACAATGAAGGTTTTATATCTTCATGCATGTAAAAAACCTTCAGCCTTTAGAACTGCTTTAATTATTGAGTGGAATATAGGATCAGGAGAAATATATGTGTGAAAAAAACATTTCCAAAAAGAAAATTTAGTGTATTTTTTGAAATTTTAGTTTTGCCACTCTTACAAATTTGTTACAGCAGTGAAAAAAAAGAAAGATGGTGATCCTATTTATATATTTATTTTATATATATTACTATTATTATACAGTATTTATATGGCGCCAACAGTTTGCTCAGCGCTCTACAATATAATGGGAGACAGTACACGAGACAGCACAATAACAATACAAAACAATACACGAGGGGTTCGAGGGCACTGCTCCTTGGTGCTTACAATCTAGGAGGGAGGGGGTAGAGGTACAGGAGGAAATAGCTGTGGGGGATGGAGTGGTGGGAAGAGCGGAGGAGACCAGCAATTAGTTGAGGGTGGGGTAGGCTTCCCTGAAGAGATGGGTTTTCAGGGTGCACCTAAAGGTGAGGAGGGTAGGTGACAGTCTGATGATTGGGGTAGTGAGTTCCAGAGGATGGGGAAAGCCCTGGAGAAGTCCTGGAGGTGGGCATGGGAGGAGGAGACCAGGGAACTAGAGAGTAGAAGGTCTTGTGAGGAACGGAGAGTGTGTTTTGGGTGGTAGATGGGTATCAGGTCGGTGATGTAGTTTGAAATATATATAATTTATTTTTTTTAATGTACACGGTTGTTGTTTCTATTGTTATCTATTTCACTTTTTGCCATTATGGACTCGTATTTATGATGTGACATTACTCTGCAGTGTTTATGCTGTAATATTATCAAATTTCATCTTCAAATTGTGAAAATTCCATCCACTGCAAGCGCCAATTTTTCATGGTTTTCCAAAAGTATACTGTAAAATAACCTAATTCTCTAATACAACACATGGATCAGCTTATAGACATTTACAGTATATGAATATATCGAGTCCAAGCCAAAATGAACAACTATTCTAAGACGGATTTTGGACCACAGTATGTTTTCATTTTGACTACTGCTTGGCAAAGCCATTATTATAATACAAAGACCACTCTAAAGAACGGGCTTTCGGTAGAATTAATCTGCAGCATTATGAGACATTTTTCTCCTACATATAATACTGAGGTTACTTAGTATAAGTTTCAAGAAAAAATAGGTCTATTAAATTTAGGTATATTTTTGCACATTTTAGAATGCTGATCTAGAGTAAGATGGCCTATTTTTGCTTGTTTTTATAATAAAAGAGGCGTGTAATTGTATTGTTTTACAGCAGCTCTGAAGTGAGAATCTATTAAAGTGAAACAACTAAGTTTAACTAAGGGTGGAATATGTGCAGGAATTCATTAGGATAAACTGACAGTTATGACTCCCTTGTTCCCCTGTGTCTTATTTCTCCATTCCACACCTTATAAAGCTCAAACTCTCAATGCTTAATTCACAAAGGTGCATAGCACACTTTACTTAGCCTTCTCTGCAAGTAGTGATGTTTTACTACTACTAGTGAAATTTTTACACTAACAGTATTTTTTTAAATGGCCGCACAATTTATCGCTTCCTCAGACTGCTGATAATTAAGCCCATTCACTAAGGCTAGGTTCACACCTATGCAGTTTGCCTTTGATCCGTTTCTGCAGTGTGTTCTGCGGTGCGTTTTGCATTTTTGCACATTTTGACGTATTTTTGACACGTTTTTGATGCGTTTTGTGTTTTATTTTCTTTTACTTGTTGCTGGGCATATTAAAATGAATCAAAAATGCATCAAAAACACACTACATGCTTTTCTGCAGCATCTCCATTGAAGCCTATTGAAACAAAAATGCAACGTTTTGTGTTTAAAAAAAGACGCTGACCCTTTCCAAAAAAATGCACCAGGTGAAAACGCAGAGATGTGAACCTGTCCCATAGGAAATCACGTTAAATGGACTGCTGTGTGTTTCTGCAAAACGCAGCAGAAAACGTATAGGTGTGAACCTAGACAAAGAAACGGCAAACCTAGATACTCCTGCGCTTAGGGATGGACTTTGTATGGATGGGATCACATCAGGTGAAAACGCATCAGGTGAGAACGCGGAGATGTGAACCTGTCGTATAGGAAATCATGTTAAATGAACTTCTGTGTGTTTCCACAAAACGCATTAGAAAACGCATAGGTGTGAACCTAGACTAAGAAACGGCAAACCTAGATACTCCTGCACTTACGGATGGACTCTGTATGGATTTGATCACATCAGGTGAAAACACATCAGAAGAAACCGCGGAGATGTGAACCTGTCCCATAGGAAATCATGTTAAATGGACTGCTGTGCGTTTCCGCAAAACGCAGCAGAAAATGCATAGGTGTGAACTTAGACTAAGAAACGGCAAACCTAGATACTCCTGCACTTAGGGATGGACTCTGTATGGATGGGATCACATCACGAATTTCTTGGGATATGCACACCTTGCTGCCCTCAGCTCTGAGGAAGAGGCAAGTCCTTGAAACGCGTCAGCCTGTTGGAGGTCCAGAGTTCCCATTATGGACAGAAACGTAGTGCAGATTGGACAGAGCTGTTCTTTCATGATGTGCCTTTGACTGTATTGTCATTTTGTGAGTACAATACCTACTTTTATTATTTAATAAATACATTTTTTAACCACTTGACCTCCTGAGGATTTACCCCCCTAAATGACCAGGCCTCTTTTTGCTACTCGGCACTGCACTAATTCAACTGATAATTGCGTGGTCATGCAATGCTGCACCCAAACGAAATTTATGTCCTTTTTTCACACAAATAGAGCTTTCTTTCGGTGTAATTTGATCACTTGTGCGCTTTTTATTTTTCCCACTATAAACAAAAAAATGCCAAAAATTTTGAAGAAAAACGATATTATTTACTTTTAGCTATAAAAAATATATAGTAAATTCAAAGTTGGTTATAAATTTAGGCCAAAATGTATTCTGCTACATGTTTTTGGTAAAAAAAATCCCAATAAGTGTATATTGATTGCTTTGTGTGGAAGTTATAGCATCTACAAACTATGGTATAAATACTGCAATTTACGCCATTTTTCTGCTATACAGCGCTGCGCTAGTTTAACTGACAATTGCGCGGTCATGAAATACGGTACATAAATGAAATTTACATCCTTATTTTCCCCACAATCTGAGCTTTCTTTTGGTGGTATTTGATTGCTTGTGCAGTTTTTATTTTTTGCGCTATAAAAAAAAAAGTCTGACAATTTTGAG